GCCCAACATAGTAAAGGAAACAATCCTGTGTCTTCCTGCCTGTCAGTCACTGCTCAGATGAGTGGAAACAGGCCAAACCACCCAGACAGTTGGGCTTCCAGGATGGGTAGAGAGAGGAGATGGACTCTCATTGATTTTTTTTTTTTTTTTTTGTATTATATTTTTGTCTTCTCTGTCCTGAATTTGGGCTTTTATTTTGGTGATCTGAATTCTTCTGCTGAAGTTAGGGTTTTGGTGTTCTTTATGCTTTTCTAGCTTCCTTAGGTGATTTGTTAGGCTACTAACTTGTGATCTTGCCATTTTCTTCACGTGTTTGTAGAGATATGAATTTCCCTCTTAGTATTGTTTCCATGGTATCCCAGAGATTTTGGTAAGGTGTTTCTTTGTTTTCATTTGTTTCTAGGTATCTTTTAATCTCTGTTTTGATTTCCATGTTGACGCAGGAGTTGTTTAGCATCATGCTGTTTAGTGTCCATGTCTTTGTGGGTTTTGGGGGGAATTTTGTTGGTGTTGATATTTATTATTTATTCCACCGTGGTCTGAGAAGATGCATGGCAGTACTTCAAACTTATGGAATTTGTTTATGCTTGATTTATGGCCGAGGATAGATGTGGTCAATCTTAGATTAAGTTCCATGTGGTGATTAGTAGATTGTATATTCCGTGGTTGTTGGGTGGAGCGTTCTGTAGGTATCAGTTAAGTCCTTTTGGTCAAACATCACATTGAGTTTCCAGATCTCCTTGTTGATTTTTTGTCTTGATGATCTGTCTAGGGTTGCTAGTGGGGTTTTCAAGTTCCCAGCTATGATAGTGTTAGAATCAATATCTTCTTTTAGTTTATCTAGAAGCTGCTTTATGAAAATTTGGTGCTCATATGTTGGGTGCATATATGTTTAGGATAGATATTTCTTGTTGATGGATTGAACCTTTTATCATTACGTAATGACCTTCCATATCATTTTTAATTTTTGATAGCTTAAAGGGCATTTTGTCTGATATTAAGATTGCAACTCCTGTATTCTTTTGTGTTCTGTTTGCCTCAAGTTTTGTTTCCCATCCTCTTACTTTGAATCTATAAGTGTCCTTTCTGGTGAGATGAGTCTGTTGGAGACAATATGTTGTTGCCTCATGATATTTTATCCAATTTGCCATTCTATATCTTTTCAGTGGTGCATTTAGTCCATTCACATTCAGGCTAATACTTGAGATGTGAGAGTTTATTCCTGTCATGTTTTTATAGAGTTTGTTGTTGCTGCTGCTGTTTGTTTGTTGTCTTTCTTTTGATTTGGGGGTTGATTTATGTGTGTTTTCAGTTTTCCTGCATTCTTGGGAAGGGCGTTGTCACTCTTTTTTTCCTTTCTTCTGTGTTTAATACTTTCTTAAATGTTTCTTATCGAGCTGATCTGGAGGCAGCGTAAACGCTTAGGGATTGAATGAATGTCTAGGAAGAATTTTAATTCTCCATCACTGATGTAACTTAGCTTAGCTGGGTAGGTAATTCTTGGTTGAAATTGTTTATCTTTGAGAACTTTGAAGATTGGGCCCCAAGTCTCCTAGTCTGAAGTGTTTCTGTAGATAAGTCTGCTGCTATTCTAATTGATCTTCCCCAGTAGATAGTCTGACCTTTCTTTCTTGCTGCCTTTAGGACTTTTTCTTTTATACCTACTTTGTGTAGGCAAATTACTATGTGTCTAGGAGTTGGTCTTCTCATTTGTTGTCTCACAGGGGTTCTCTGAATCTCTTGTGTTTGAATGGCCATGTCACTGATGAGATGAGGGAAGTTTTCTTGGATAATTTCATGGAATGTTTATTCCAGGGTAGTCTCTGTCTCTCTATCTGCCTCAGGGATTCCAATTAATCTTAGGTTCAGCCTCTTGAAATAATTGCTCATCTCTTGGAGGTTGTCTTTTTAACCTTCTTTTCTATCTTTTTAACAGTTTGGGTTAGTGCCATATTTTGGACCTCAAGCTCTCAGACTCTTTCTTCTGCTTGGTTAATTCTGCTTTCCATGCTTATCAGTTTGTTATTTATTTCATTCACTGTATGCCTTATCACTGTTATCTCAGTTATCAACTCCTTCATTCTTTCCTCTTGTCTCTCCTCATTTCTATTTATTCTATTAATATCTTGATATCTCGGTTTATGGTTTGGGAGCAGTCATTCTGGGGGCTTTTCATTGTTTGAGTTCCAAAGTCTGTATTCTTAGTGGCTGACCTTCCAGGGGTCTGTGTGAAACTCATATTCTTCCTTTGTGTAGGTTTTCCTCCCCCTTTTTTCACCTCTTCTTTAATTCTGTCGTTCAGTAATTGGGGAAATAACTTTTATTTCTGTTTGCTCAATCTCCTATTCTTCCTTATTTAGATCCTCTGGTTTTGTTCAGTTCTGAAGCCGTACTGGAGGTTGGGGCCTGTGCTTTTTGCAGTTTTGATATTTAATTAAGGGGAGAATTGTGATTCAGAAGGTATCTGTAGATCCCAGTATCTGCTGACAAGTGTGTGAGCCCCCTGGAACCCACTTCCCACTGCCTTACAATCTGTCCATGCAGTGGGGTTGTGTTTGCCCCTTGAAAGCAAAATGAGATAAGGGAAAAGAATGGAAAAAGGAAGGAGGAAGACGAAAGGAAGGTGGAGAGAGAGAAGAGGAGGGAAAACAACAGGCATACTAACTAATAAACAGGGAAAAAAAGAAAAAACATACAGACAACCATACAAACAGAAACTCCCTTATTTGTGTACACTCCCTCAAAAAATACCCATACACAAACAGAAAATCTAAAAAAAAAAATTAAAGTAACAGAAACAAAGCAAGTACAAAAACATAAACAAAAATAGAAAGAAGAAAAAAAAGCGCCGGGCTCGGTGGCTCAGCCTGTAATCCCACACCTTTGGGAGGCTGAGGTGAGTGGATTGCCTGAGCCCGTGGGTTCAAGACCTGCCTGAGCAACTTGGCGAAACCTCATCTCTACAATAAATCAAAAAATGAGCCAGGTGTGGTAGCACGCGCCTGTAGTTCCAGCTACTTGGAAGGCTGAGGCAGAAGGATCGCTGGAGCCCAGCAGGTCGAGGCTGCAGTGGCCGGGAGCAGCCACTGCATTCCAGTCTGGGCGACAGAGTAAGACTCCAACTCAAAAAAAAAAGCAAAAACTAAAACAAAAAACAAGGAAAAAAAAAAAAACTCGCCCTGTGGCCATTTCTATAACTCCAGGTTCCTCTGCCTTAAGGAGTGGCTCCAGTCTCCAACCCCTCCCCTCTACTTTCAGCACAGGCTGATAGAGTTGCTGTCATCATGGGTAAGATGCCCCACGGACTACTGTGGGAGGAGGATGGATCAGATCTGGACTCACCCTACTTGCTGCTGCTGCTCTCGAGTCTCCCACTCAGATCTGACGTGTCTATGCCTGTTCCAGTGTTGGGGAGGGGCATCTCCAAGTTGAATGAGAGGATAGCCTCTGAGTCCCCATGATGGTGGCTGGGCAGGGCAATGCAGGTCTCTGCCCAGTCCTGGGACTGAGAAGATGGCACCCATCAGTATCTCATCACTGGCGCTGGAGCTTTATTTCGGTTTTCCACGACCTGCCTTCTCCACAGTTCCTCCTGCTCGTGTGCAGTCTGCTGCTGCAGTTGATGGCAAGGGCTGGGTACCAGGTGGTGAGGGGTGGCTGTTCTTTGTTGCCTCCTCTCAAGAGAGCCCCAAGAATGGCAGACGATCCTGCGTGCCTGGGTATCTAATCTCAGGGCAGTGATGGGTTGCAGTTACCTCCGGAGGAGAGCCCTGGGTGCATGAACCCAAGTCCCCTCTCAGACAGACTTTCACTTACCCACTAGCACACAGAGAGTCTTTATGGACACTTGCTTTTGCAAAGACTCTCACATTCCAACCTGTTCTGTTGCCATCTTATCCAAAAGTCTCCAGTGTTTCTACTTTTAACTATATCCTAGAGAAACTTCTCATTTGTACTCAAGCAGACACATGCAAGAATACTGAATACAAGACTGTCAGGAATCACAAAAATCTAAATACCCATTAACCAGAAAACAAGTAATGGGTATATTCATCAGTGGGTACCATATAGCACCTAACAGGAATGATGGGACCTACATGAATCGATAGGGAGTTGCAGAAGCCTATGTACAGTGTGATATCATTGATACAAAGTTTTAAAACATTCAAAATAATAACACCTGACTGGGTGTGGTGGCTCACTCCTGTAATCACTTTGGAAGACTGAGGCAAGAAGATCACTTGAGACCAGGAGTTCAAGACCAGCCTGGGCAACATAGTGAGACCCTGTTGTCCCTACAAAACAACAAAAAATAGCTGTGTGTGATGGTGCATACCTGTAGTCCCAGCTACTTGGGAGGCTGAGATGGGTTGAGCTCTTGAGCCCAGGAGTTCAAGATTGCAGTGAGCTTTGATCATGCTGCTGCACTCCAGCCTGGGCAGCAGAGTGAGAACTTGTCTCAAAAAATAATAATAGTAATAATACCGTGTTTATGCATGCATACAAATGCCCTAAAAGTAGAAATTTAGAAGTGTCGTTATTTCTGGGCAGGGGAGGGAGATCAGGAAGGAACATGAAGTTGCAACTGTACTGGTAATGTTTTGTTTCTTTAAAAAAAAATGATTTAAAGCAAATATTCCAAAAATGCTGAGATTTCTTAAAGCTAAATGGTTATTACATTATTATTACTTAAAGTTTGATATATCTCATGGCAGAAGGGGGTAGACCTTAGAAAAAAGGGGGGAGAATATCAGAAGCTGAGACTTTAGTCTTCTAAAAGACGACATAATCACAAAAAGGACATTTAGAGTTAAGGAAGGTATGAAACAAAGAATCAAAAAGGCCTCACATTGCACGCATGCACCATAGTCCTGATTCCACACGTCTCCAGCCAGTATTCCAATGGGTGCTGCTGTTTCTGTACCTTGGGAGACTTGCCCAGCCCAGTGACGTCTGCCCCTGCTCACTACTAATAACTCCTCATCACTGCCTTTCCTCAGTGTCTTCAAGAGAACTCTGACATCAAGACCCACAGGCCTTTTGTAGCTGTAATGACCACTCTTTGTGAATGTAAAGACAAAGCCAGCAAGACCTTCACCAGGTAAGACCTTTGATTTGGATCCATGAGGGAGAAAATTCTGAACCTTTGGTGTTTTCAGCTTCTTCTGGCTAGCTTCTCCGCTTCAGAACTGATCACTGTTCTTGGATTCTAGGTTTGGTGTTCAGCCGTGTCCCATCTGCCTGGGAGATGCACAGGATCCCATCTGTCTGCCCTGTGACCATGTGTACTGCCAGCGCTGCATCAAAGCCTGGCTTGCCCCAGGGCAGATGATGTGTCCCTACTGTTTAACTGACTTGCCAGACAGATTCCCTCTAACGGTTTCCCAAGAGTACAGGTAAGACACCCTTTGTCTCAAGAACACTTCCTCATTTTGTTCTCCATTTTTTGGCAAATACAGTATTCAGAAATATAAACTCTACTAACTTTCACTTGGTAAAAAACCTAGCTTCAGAGAACCATCATAAAAAAGACCACTTATGTATCTTAATATCTGGTATCTCAAAATTATTCTTCCCCCAAGACATACACATGCACAGATTTGGGAGACAGCATATTTAGAGGAAATAAGCCAGAATGCCATAAAGTAAAGAAAGCTCTCACTAGAGGCCCGAGGAATTTAGATGTACCTGGTCAACCCTCTTGATGTGTAAATGTCCTTCTCATTCACTGAGCTGGGATAAACTTAGTTCTTGTTCAGCTTTGTGGAGGTAGTTAAAAGGAACTAGCACGCTCCGGGCTCAGCAGGCCTTGGCCCTGCTCTTTAAATGTTGCTTTTCCTTCCCTTTCCCTTCCTTCAGAGCCCTTCTAAAAGTGGAGCACCAGTCAAGCCCAGTGGTTGGGCTTTGGCATAATTAGGATATTGAAGGGTATTTCTGGCTGGTCTAAATGATCAAAGTATTCCTAGAAAGAGAAGAATCTAAATACTGTCTATTGCAATTTTGAAGACCAGTTTTAGTCAACGTAAGGAGTGACTTAAATCTTTCTATTTAAAAACAAAATGCTGTTAAAATCTCAAATCATCTGCATGGAGGGATTTTGGAACACATTCCACAGGTCTTTTGACTGTATTTTTCAACTGTTTCTAAGGAAAGCCATTGAAAAGCATGCCCAGTTCCGGCAGATGTGCAACAGTTTTTTCATAGACCTGGTTTCCACCATGTGCTTCAAAGATAACACTCCACCTCAACAGAAAGTGATTGAGAGCCTGCTGTCTCTACTCTTTGTACAAAAGGATCTCTTAAGAAATGCTCCCCAGAGTAAGCTTTCTTCCTATAAACCTAAAAATTCAGTTTTTCGCCTCATTTTTGTATGTCTGAAGCAGTGAGCTACCTTTTTCTTTCTGATTTAAGAACACCGTGAACACACAAAATCTCTGTCCCCATTCAATGATGTTGTGGATAAAACTCCTGTCATTCGCTCAGTGGTACTGAAACTGCTTTTGAAGTACAGGTAAGAATAACGACACGGAGATTTACTTCTAGAAAGTCTTGACTTTTTTCCTTCACCATGACTTTCTTTGCTGCTAAGTGTTCTTCTCATGACTAGTAACTATTTCATGATTCAGGGAAACTTTTTCAGAGAGAGACAACTTGGTTTATCTATACTGGTTGCGTTTTGACAGTTTCACATATAGACACATGAATGTAGTCTATCCATAAGCATATATTTAGCAGGAAGAGGACAGAATGCCAGGAAGGGATCATGGTGCTGTGAAGCACATGGAACTCATGAGTCAGGAATCAGCGGTTTTGATCCTAGTTCCACAACTACCTAGTTTTGTGATTTTTAGGATGATAACTTCGAATCTAACTTCACGCTCAATGTCCTAGATGTCCTCTAAGCTTATATTCCCCTGAACATGGGCTCTATCTGTATGTTTCTTTGTTTAGAAAGGATGTTGACCACGTCCAAGAATAGTATCATCTGTGGTACTTGTATTGATCTAGTATTGCATTTCTCAAAGAGTTTGTATGGACCTATGGATGTTGGGGAGGTCCCTGAGAGCAAAACTATTTTTAAAGACAAATTTTCCTTTTTTTTTTTTAATATGGTAACATTTGCAATGATGTTACAAAAAGCAGTGATATATAAACCTGCTGGCACTTTAGGAAAAAACTGTAGTAGTCATTGTTTCTTTACCACCAGTGCATGTAGATTTTTTCAATACTAGTTTCACTTATTACTTTTCCTACAGTTTGACCCTTGAGGTCTTGACTTTTTTTTTTTTTGAGTTGGAGTCTCACTCGGTCGCCCAGACTGGAGTGCAGTGGCCGCTCCCGGCCACCGCAGCCTCAACCTGCTGGGCTCCGGCGATCCTTCCACCTCAGCCTTCCGAGTAGCCGGAATTACAGGCATGCGCTACTACGCCTGGCTTATTTTTTGATTTATTGTAGAGATGAGGTCTCGCTGCCCAGGCGGGTCTCGAACCCGCGGGCTCAGGCAATTCACTCACCTCAGCCTCCCAAAGGCGCGGGATTACAGGCTGAGCCACCGAGCCCGGCTTGAGGTCTTGACTTTTTAATGTTTCTTGGAAATGGGAAGTACACACAAAACAATCCCACTGCATTCTGAAGTATACTGGTTATCTCAAAGAAAGTCACTCATAGCAATCTTTTAAGTTATAAACCGCCTGCTTTTTCATGGAATGCCATCTGTGCTTGCAAAAGTGACCAGCAAACTGCAGTTATTCAGACCAGGGGATCTGGCAAGCACTTTCTTGAAAACAAGCAAAGTGAGCCTATCACATCAAAACAATTGACGTCTCTGTTGCTGATGATAAAATTCAAACTTTTAAGCCAAAATAAAAATTTTGGAAAACACGTATTCTCCACCATCAGCTTGTTTGCTTTCTAATACTTAAAGACTTTTTGAGGCAATAAGTCTGTGGTAATATTAATGAGTGTGGGTGTGTTTTTTAAAAATACAGAACAAAAATGTGTCAACATTTTCAAGATCTGCATAGCTCAGTTAGCCAATATTTTTCAAATGACCAATGCCTCATGTCACATAATCATGTGGGCGGGGGGAGAATCAATATGAAGTGTAAGGTAGGCCATTTGATTTTGATGTAAGTGACTATGAAAAAGATGCTCGATAATGGTTTCAGGTTCCACATTGCAACAACTAACTTTTAGAAATGATGGTTTATAAAGTTTTGGTACAGTAGCAAAGAAGATAAAAGCATATCCACAGTTATCTGCAATGACTATTAAAATATTTCTCCCTTTTCCAACGATATAATGTATGAGACCAGATATTCTTCATATACTTCAGTGTAGCACAACTGACTGGAAGCTGAAGCAGATAAAATGAGTCAGCTAAACTTCTATTAAGCCAAGTGTTAAAGAGATTTGCAGGAATGTAAACAGAGACACTCTTCTCACTAATTAATTTTTGTTTTGGAAAACAGTTTATTTTTAAAATGTTATTTATTTTAACATGTAACAGTTTCAAGCTGGGCTCGGTGGCTCAGCCTGTAATCCCGCGCCTTTGGGAGGCTGAGGTGAGTGGATTGCCTGAGCCCGCGG